TCCGTTTTTTCCTCTGCTCGAGAATATTGATATGTTTGAGATAATATTTTTTTATCTTAGGAAAAAACTGCATCGTATTTCATTGACAATATTGAATTACATCAGACAGTCGATGTATCAATTCCCAATGACATTTGTCAACAATAGAGAACAATGTCGAATACGTCCAATGGTGAAAATTATATCATGATGGTCATCGCTCACAAATATTTCAAACTGGAGTGCATCCGATAGCAACGTAGACGAGAAGCATAGCCTTGTTTATGTAGAGTAAAAGATTTTAAACAGACATCAATGACAGTTGTCTATCGTTAACATTGATTGATTTAAACAGATAGTAGTCGTCGATCAATGACTAATGTAAGAGACAAAAATACAACTTAACCAACCTGCGGAGAGTTTGATGATAGTTCGTGTAGTAAACCATCGCGATCTTTTTCAATTTGAGTTAACTTATGTTGAGAATTTCGTAAGAGTTCTTCTGTGTCACGAAGTTTTTCTTGTAACTAAATTTCATATAAACAATGCGTGTGATAACGAAACAAATAATATTTTCTTTATTTCTTACTTTATCACGTTCTTCAAGCATTGAAACCATTAACTGTTCAATATTCGCTTCAGCTTCTTCGCCAATCTCTGTTTCCATACTTTCGTGATCGATATCATGTCCACCGGTATCTTCAGGTATCGGCGGCATTACATCACAAATCATATCAGCATACATCATTTGTTACGATTGTCTTCCGTTTGGTTCTACATGATTCGAATGAAAGGTGTCAAGTATTCGATGAACGAGATCATAATGACGAGAGAAAATATGATCTGAAATAGAACAAAGAGAAAGTACTTTTGAACAGTTTGCTCTGCATCTCAATTGACTGAATGGTACTTATGTGTAGGACAATTAGATTTCGCTTATAGAACTGAATGAAGATAAGTGACAGACTAGAAATCGAGAACGTAGACGGAGAAAGAAGAAAAAAGATCTCATGATACTCTATCCATTCATTGATTGATTAGCCATGAACGATCAACTATGAGAAAATCTTCTGCTAATTGATCGAACAAGTAAGTCCTCTCATTCATAAACGTTCTAATGTTACTAACCATTAATCAAAAGGAAACAACGTACTAACTTATAATGATATTAATACATAGTCAGAATGTAATTAAGATTTTCTATTCGGTATTCTCTATTTCGCTGATATACTAGACTAAATCAGTAACAAAACTAAATAAATAGATTCTTGTCCGTATATATGTGTGTACGAAGAGGCCGTCGAAAGGGGTGGAAGAAAATGACGACGACGACGACGACGACGAAGAAAATCCCCTGGTATGTAGATGATGAACAGAAACAAGAAGTAGCATTTGTTGCTTTAATATGAAAAACACCCTATCGATGAAGGACGAAAAAGAAGAGAAAAAAGTCGAAGAATGACAACAATTACAGAGTAAATGACAAGACAAAACATAACAGGAAGCAAATAAATGAATTACATTGAGTAGTTCTATCTATGATTAAGTAGACAGGAGTCGATTGTGTATCATCGACAGGTTCAAACAGGCACAAAATGGAAATATTGACATTGAAAGAGTAATCGAGAAAAACAAAGGTCATCTGACGACTTGATAAATGAAGAGCCGATTAAAGGTAGTTCATGCTTAACGAATTGAAAAAAGAACATTCGAAGAACTCTCAACGACAAGAAAAAATAAATAAATAGACAATCATGTTTATGATCATCGATCGTCTATTATCATCCTTGATCGATCGTTTGAAATAAATGAGACTATGGACAGTATCTGTATTATTGCTCATAAAAGCGAAACGCTTGACTACGAGTAGTATATGTCTATGTGTATGTGTACATCTCTACGATGTCGGACAGGGTGCATGCATGTATACATTTCTTTGCTTGTCTCATAATGGGATAGACAATTGCGTGAAGCGTAGAAGAAAAGAAATGATCTTTATCATTGAAAAAGAAATGCAAAGAAAAAGAAAACGTTAAAAGATATCGCGCTTCGGTCACTCATCAATAATGTTCATATATAAAATCAAAATAAACTAATGAAATGTGCAGTTGTCTAGAAGATAAACTATGAAAAAATTTACCAATCATATGTCATAGTCAACCGTTCATTAGAAAGAGTACAACTCGAATCATTTATCAAATGTAAATTTTTATATCCGTTCCTTTGTGGTCAAGTTTATCTTACCAATGCTAATTCTCAGACAAAATATGGTTGAACTGGAGGAAAAATATTAATTAACCTAGAACGTTTAAGTCGTCAATCAAAAGGGACAAGAGATTTTATGATAAGATACAAGAGAAGAGAAGGATGACTAAATAAACACAATAAGTATAGTCTATGATCCAATGAAGAATTTTTTCGATGAATTTCAACAGTCGAATTGTCAGAAGTATTTCCACGGAAAAAAATCAGTGTTAATATCTTACTTTTAACGAAATATTTCGAAATCGACTTCGAAATGTTTTGTGTAGACCAGCGCCATCTAGTCCAGTAGTGAAAGTGAGAGCTAACTCTTTGCTCAGTCCGAACAGCAGGACTTATGATGTTGATATATCGCATTGAGGCTCGTACGTGAACTTATCGAAGAGAGAAAACGATGTACGAAGTAAGAAGATAATGAATGTAACAGAAGGTCATTCCCTCGAGTGTGAATTATATTGAAGAGGGGAAGAGAGAGAGAGAGAAGAAAAGACAAATGACTTCTTGAACACAGCAGGATACAACTTATTAAATAAACTTCAGCGCATTGTATAGATCAGTTCGACGTCGTTTAATGTTTCGCCGACAACAGCTAGTCTTATTGATTGTTGAACATCCAAAATTGCTCTCAATAGTCCGATGACCACTTGATTTTATGTCCGGAATATTCATATCAAATAATTTCCAAAAATATCTTTTCATTTAGCATATTAATGCATATTCCATATCGTTTGAATCAATTGCTCAAGATTCAAGCACGTTGTGGGTCACATTATGTTTTAAACCTCTTTCTTTTTACTACTTGTCTTGTATCGATGGCATTGAAGCAAAAATGATCAATCAAAAAATAACTACGAACGCTAAATTCTTTTAGCTAAATTAATAAGTAAACACGATGAAATTTAAATCGGTAATAACCAACTACTGGATTTTACTGAATAACGTCGAACGGAAAAATATCGAAAATAGACGATGTTGAAAACACAAGTCCCACATATGTCGAAAGACAAAATAGTGAAAGCAGTATAGTTTAAAAGTATAAATCTTGCTCGCACTGCACCCCCCCCGCCCGCCGCCGCCCCCCCCACCCCACCCCCTACCGCCCATCTGGCTTGTGCTGGTCCCTAGT